ACTGGGCCCAGTGTCCCATAACGAGTACGTTCAGAAAACTTCATCAGAAAAATTCATGAAAATGAGACAAGCTACTAGAAAAATCTAATTGGCCAGAGGATGGAAATTTAGAAATTGAGATACCGGGGCCATTACCCGGCTTTGGCTCGAAGAATTGGAGCTACTTCAGACATGTCTATGGCAACTTTCATGATTAAGCAGAATTCAGGAACGACTCAGAAAACCCCCCATCAACCAAATTTACCCCCCTCCGGTAAGACTGACTGCAACGGAGCCGCCATCTCTGCTGCTGCTATGCCATATGCCCATCCTGCCAACTAGCCCCTCACTGGTAGGACGCGTGATAACCCACCATCTTCTCCCACACTCCTTATTTTCTTTTTGAAGTACCTAAGGACTCTTACCGTCGCTCAAGAAGCATGAGAATAGGTTACAGAGGTCCTACGATTATTCCCAAACCCTCGAAATCCCACACCAACCCTTCCAATGTTCTCCAAAACTGTCGTGCTCCCTGCCGATCTCGTCTAGGTCTCACACCCCTACTTTCTGCTGGGTTACAGTGCAATTCGAATCACCCCTGCTCCAACAAGCATCGTCCCGGCAGCAACCCTTGGTTGTCCAGTGGAACGCCCACCCCAAGACATCCCCAGATCTCTCTACCAGACCTCACGGTCCTGCATCGTAGGTTACAGGGCAACACCCCAGCACCGGTCATCGTCGTTCTGGCATCGAACAACCGCAGATCACTGAGTATAACAACATTGAAACCGCCTAAGACGAGTTACTAGGGATTCCAGAGTCCTAAAAAACATTCCGAGGACCATTTTACAGATTGAAATTTGCTGTTTCAAATGAAGAATGAATTTTACATTCTTTTGATATAGGTTAGGCAAAGGAAAATTTTTTCTCTCTTCTGATATAGGTTCTCGATATCCATACAAGAAGATGTGGTTATCGAGGTTACACCTTCCCTAAAAAAATGTCCTCAGATTGAGCAAAGGAAAAATTTTTCTCTCTTCTGATATAGGTTCTGACGATCACCCTAGACTCCATAACACTCTTACTTTGTGGTTATCGAGGTTACACCTTCCCTAAAAAAACGAACCGCCTAGAGCATGCCTCACAGGCCACCTCCTTGCCTTCTCTCCCCAACCGCTAGAGCTGATCCCACCCAAAATCAGCCTAGCCTAGAAAAAGACAAACCCTTAATACAAATTGAAATTTGCTGTTGAAATTTGCTATTTCAAATGAAGAATGAACCTCTCTAATCCCAAAGGAAGACATAAATACACCGCATAAACACCCAGGCAAAACTTCAGAATCAGACAATTTCAGCGATAAAGAATCGAGACCAGGAAGTTGAATTTTACAGATTGAAATTTACTGTTTCAAATGAAGAATGAATTTTAGAACTGAAAGTTGAATCCAAGTAGGGAATATGACTTTGAAGCTCCACATAGGTAATCACGATAGAAAAATTATTCTGATGTCCGACCGGACTTTCCACTCTGATTTCCAGAACACAAGGTTCAGAAAATCGCTCAGACCGCTAATCATGAAGATGCTAAACGAAATGATTTCATAGGAACAACCAGGAATACACCATAGAAACAATAAACTGGTAGCTCAATTATTAGATCGTCATCATTTGATGTGCATTAAGAATAAGGACATAGAAAAACCGAACAGGTAATGCAAAATCGATCAAAACATCATGAAAAAAAACAAATTGAAAAATCAGAATTAAGCAACCAAAACACGCCAAAGTTCAGCGTTAAAAAGAAGGCATCAAAACAAACAAAATCTATCTAACAATCTCCTCGTTAAAAATCTCATCAAGGTAAAAATGAAGAGGAAAACCCAGCTTACCCTTGACATCCCTAAATGCACCACCCCCTCTCTCCAAACCTCACCTCCTCACATCATCGGCTCTCAAGCAACTCGGCCGCCTGTGAATGACAACCATTCAACCCACCAAATAGACCGAACGATGTTGATAACAGAACCGCAATTAGGATTGCCTTCACAACATACCACACCACGTCGCGAGACTAAACCGCCGCGCAAGCCACCCGCCCCTCGCAGATAGCCCAAAGAGATGGGAGGGTGTCCTTGTTGCAGACGTCACCCACCTATAGGAAACTTTTCTCCCGCATTCCTCCTCCCCCCTTTTTCCTTGTAGCACTCTCCTTCCAACTCATGGAACCCTGCCTACCTCCCCTTTCTCCCTCCCCCAGTATTCCTCTCCAGATGCACTGCCCAACGACGTCCAGACACGCTCCTCCATGCCCCATGATCCCACTCCCACCAACTGACATTTCGTTAAAACTGACATTTTTTTCTAAATTCACGAAATTGAGCGTACCAAAAAACAACATTTTTTAGTGTTTTTTTGTCCCCATGACGTTGGATGATCAGATCATCGGGTGTCGTGGCGACTCCCGATGATATGACCATCAGATGTATGTTAACGGTACTTTACATTGAGGTACATCAGATGGACAAAGTGAGATAACCATTTTGTCACCCCATGAGCAATGAAATTTTGACTAAGTCCACTTTCGTGAATTTAGAAAAAAATGTCAGTTTTAACGAAATGTCAGTTCACCTCCTCCTCGCGTCAATCTTGCCATTGAAGCGCCCCAGCCGCTCTTCGCCGGCCCTAGACGCCACTTTATCTCTGCCAGCGGTTCATTGTATCACTCCTATTTGGATGGAATCTTGGTGCATTTCAGCTCTCTGATTTGTACATGACTATCTGGACTTCTGCATGATTTCGCAACTTAGCCCACCTAATCAACTAAGTGTAGGTGCCCAGCAGACCGACCATTCTTACTGTTGCCCTTATTGATAGCGAGAAGCCTGCAGAAAGTGAAAGAGGGAGTTGCTTTTGGGCAGGAAATTTGCCCAACAACAAGTTCCGTTTTCATTTTTTGCAGGCTACTCGTGAAGCGATCAGGGCAGGGATCTGGAGTTGGCCATTCTGTTGCTATATTTTCCTAATGCCTAAATTTAAGCTGGGTAATGGTCCCAGTATTTGTTTTCTTGGCTTGTTTGTGGAGGCCTTCTTTCTTTCTTTTTTCAAGGCTAATTCTTTAAGCCCAACCAATTCGATTACCTGTCAAGGGTCACGACACACGAAACGAAAACGAAACGAGTGCATCTGCCCACGAGAGGTGGCAAAATACACTCGTTACTGTTTATAGCAAACCGACAAACCTGGCCATTTTCTGCAGGAAGATGCACTCGTTTCGTTTTTCGTTTCCTGTCCCGTGCGGTGACGTTCAAAATCTGGACAGGATGACGTTTTTTAATCCTATCCCTGCATTGACCGCGGGGGAGGTCCATGACGCGTTGCGCACTGGATTCGGGTCGAAGTGTTGGTGAGGGGCAGCGGAATTAGGAGATATATGCGCCTCGGGGGCGGGGCACACAACTGGCATTGATGCGGACAAACATCTTGGAGGCGAGCCATCTGATATGGGGGCATTTTTTTTTTGTGTTGTTTTCCACCGTTGGCCATGATCGCTGTGTGTCTCGTCTGTGGTTTTGTATCTCCCCTTTCTTTTGTTTTCATTTTTTCTTTTCCGTCCTTCTTTTTTCATTTCTCGCGCAGCTGTCTTTTTGTGGCCCCCAGTAGGCCGTTGTTGTTTCTTTGGACGAACATCTTGGAGGAGAGCCATCTGAAAATTAATGGAGTGTGTGGTCACCCACTGCATTTGTTATTTCTGCGAGCGGAACCCACACCACGGGCACTTAGCTCGTTGTCATTATAGTGCTACATAGCCGCCACATCCGTGCTGAAGCCTCCAACGAGGGAACATGCGGGAGCTGCACCCATCAGCAGGTGCTATACTTGGTACGGCAGGTGGACGGGTTAGCTGGTTGCAACAGGACCAAGGCCAGTCACTGTGCCTCCCCTCTGGTCCCCTCCCACTATGAACATCAGCAGTCTCTGTTGAATCCCACTCTAGGGAACGAACGGCATATCTGCAGGTGGCGGCCACCAGGCATTCCCAGGAAGGTACATGAGGCCAATGGGGATTGAACCCAAGACCTCCTGAATGCCACCTGTGTGCCTTACCAACTGAGCTAGGCCCGTGGATTTTTGGACATTCATTAAAATTGGAAAGATACTTGAGCTCAGTTGGTTAGGCACGCAAGTGGCATTCAGTAGGTTGTGGGTTCAAGCCCCATGGCCGCCTGCGGCGCACTTAGTGCCAACGGACTGTGATAGTCCTCTGGATATCCCTGATCGGTATTAGCGGGGTCTATGACCAACACGGGTGTGAGTGCGGGTGTGAGTGGGTTATGTGGGGTGTGTGGGAGAGTGTTGGCCATAGCCTCTGCTGCTACTCGATGAGAGGTGGGGGACGATGAGAAAGGGAGGCGCAGCTACTGGCAAAATGGTCGGTCTTTGCGTTAGCCGGACCCCCACCGGCCGCCCCACCCCCCGAGGGGCAACATGAATTACCTCGTTTGCGAGGCCCTATGCTTGCAGAGGTCCCCTCTATATAGTCGTAGGTAGGTAGGTAGTGTGAGGTGAATTTGCGAGAGGAATAAAAAGAAAAAAAAATGGAACGATACAGAGAAGATTAGCATGGGCCCGGCTAAAAAAAACAAAAAAACAAAAAAAAAGGAAGAAGAAAGGAGAGTGCATTTTCACGCAGACGTACTGAAACAAGGAGTTGTTTACTGGTAGATGGACGTAATGGCGGAGATATACATCCCGGTGCGCCCGTGAACACGGTTACATCCATCTCCCTCTCTCTCCCACTCCCCCTCTCCCCCCTCCCCCGCCCTCCCCCTTCCCCTATCCCCCCCTCTGTTGTCTGTTGTGCATCTGGTGAGGAGTGGAGCGCGGCGCACACACATGCACACATGCCGCTCGCGTGACGGGTAGGGAGGAGGACGGCTCGACAGTGACGAATATAAAAGTGAGTTTGCGGCCATCCGGTCGTCAAACCTCCGAGCGTCACTGAAGAGCGTACGAGGTGATTCCACTTTTTTTCCGGGCAAGGTGGGTCATGACGCTGGCAATGCGCGCTCGCTTCCATAACATTCTTTGTTCCTTCCTTTTGCCGCCCCCTGTTCCTCGCCCTCAAAGTTCAGCGCTGCGAGTATTATCTCTGCTCCTGGCGCCCGTCTCATCTCCTGGTCTCTCTGTTTTTCTTTTTCTTAGTCAAGAGTCTGCTGTCACATCTTTCGCGTAGGAGCTAATATCACTCACACATACACTCTGTGTGTGTGTGTGTGTGTGTGTGTGTGTGTGTGTGTGTGTGTGTGTGTGTGTGTGTGTATGTGTGTGTGTGTATGTGTGTGTGTGTGTGTGCGTGTGTGTGGGTGTGTGTGTGCGCGCGTGTTTGGGTTGTTTTTGGGGGTATGGAGAGAGGGAGGCGTCGGAGGGGGCAGAAGTAGGAGGGAGAGGGAGGAAGGGAGGGCGAGATACACACACAGAGAGAGATACATCGAGAGAGAGAGAGAGAGAGAGAGAGAGAGAGAGAGAGAGAGAGAGAGAGAGAGAGAGAGAGAGAGAGAGAGTGTTTCCGGGGTTTCCTTGACTCAATTTTCGTTTATCTGTTTTTGCTTGTTTGAGGTTCGTTCCAGGATAGCTGGCGCAATGTACGGCCAGAAGGTGCCAATTTCAACTCACTTCTTAGGGGACAGACAGCGCATGCAGGAATAGACAAGAGCGCTGTTTTGATGTCGAGAGTGCATTAGCGTTTTCAAACATCTTATAACTCCTGCGATGATTGTCCAGATGTGATCGTGTCTACGATGTGTGTGTGTGTGTGTGTGTGAGAGAGAGAGAGAGGGGGAGAGAGAGAGAGGTGAACGGAGAGGGAGGGAGTGGGAGAGAGAGACCGGGTAGAGAGAGCGGTCTCGGATGATTGTCCAGCTGTGATCGTGTCTGACAGACATCTGCGATGAGTTGTCCAGATGCGATCAGGTCTACGATGTCAGACAGAGAGATAGAGGGGGGGGTGCAGAGAGAGGGAGGGAGGGAGGGGGACAGAGAGTGGTCGGTCCATACCGGGCGTCCACTATTTCCGACCATAGGTTTCCCCTTCAGCTTTCGTTCTTGGCACTCCTGTTTTTTTTTCTGCCCTTATTCTTCGATCCTGGTTTATGGCGAGGACGGCTATGGTGATGATGAAAATGGTGATAGCAGTCATGCCCCCTGGGCGTGGCGAACCTAAGGCCAATACGATTGTGACGATCGTTTGTCAGAGTGAAGCTATGAATGGGCAGAATGGATGCGGTTGCTTGCATGGTTTCGTCTCTGCGCACGAACGCCAGCGAGGGATGCCTCGATCTGCAGCCGGGGTGTGTCTCTTTCTTTTCTCTCCTTGGGTCTCGTGCTCTCATACTTGGCAAAAGGTGAGCGATAGGAGTGTTCGAGCTATTCATGGCATGTGGCTTAGGAGTCACTGTTGGAGTTGATAATGGTGACGCTAACCACATGTTGTTCGCTGCACTGCTCCCTCCCTCCCTCTCTCTCTCTCTCTCTCTCTCTCTCTCTCTCTCTCTCTCTCTCTCTCTCTCTCTCTCTCTCTCTCTCTCTCTCTCTGTGTGTGTGTGTCTGTGCGTCTCCTGTGGTTGTCTTGTTGCCGCAGAGATCGGTATTTGGCAATCGGAAGACTTGCTGTCCGAAGCATAGCTGTTGAGTCCAAAGCACTTTTTGGCAAAGATGGGTCAGTTTTCGGCAGCCTTGGCCGTTGTGAGCTTGGTCCTGCTTGCTAGTGTCCTCCACGTCGCAGATGCCACCGGTACGAAATGTCCCTGCTCCCCCGGGACGAAGCGGTGCACTCCCATGGGTCCGTGCGTGAAGTGCTGCAAGGACTGTGATTGCGGCAAGGGGATGAAGTGCGTTCAGGGACAGTGCAAACTCCCGTGCTGCCCGAAGGGGCTGAAGCGCTGCTTTCCCAACGGTCCCTGCGTGAGGTGCTGCAAGGATTGTGATTGTGGCAAGGGAATGAAATGCGTCCAGGGACAGTGCAAGCTCCCGTGCTGCCCGAAGGGACTGAAGCGCTGCGTTCCCAACGGTCCCTGCGTGACGTGCTGCAAGGACTGTGATTGTGGCGCGGGGAAGAAGTGCGTCCAGGGGCAGTGCAAGCCCTCGTGCGGGTGCCCGGCTGGACAGAAGCGCTGCGTCCCCAACGGTCCCTGCGTGAAGTGCTGTAAGGACTGCGATTGTGGCAAGGGGAGAAAGTGCGTCCAGGGACAGTGCAAGCTCCCGTGCTGCCCAAAGGGACTGAAGCGCTGCCTTCCCAACGGTCCGTGCGTGAAGTGCTGCAAGGACTGTGAATGTGGCAAGGGGAAGAAGTGCGTTCAGGGACAGTGCAAGCCGGCGTGCTAGCACTGATTTGGAAGGCATTGCAGTTTGCCAGCCAGGAAAATGCAGCGTTGTCTTCCTTGAAGCAGTGCTAGAAATGAACGGACGGTAGGTGCGTCGCCTTGCGGTGGAATCTGCAAGCGACCTTGGGGTCTGCAAGACTAGAGTCTATCGCCATGCGACGCGATCGCCTCCCGTAGATTACGGTCTTCAGATTTAATGACGACGTAGGCTCATGACCAATAGCCGAGGCGCCGGAGATGTTGTGGAAAAGTTGTACAGACTCTAGTACAGAGTGTGACGGCAGAGTGTTCTTTGTTTCCCGCAGTCATGTGGGACCCTTTTTGTTTTTTTGGAACGTCAATAAAGCTTTGGCTGTGTTGCTGGGTAATCGGTGGGTATAGAGCTTTCGATCCACTACTAGTAGAGAAGGCACGAGCGCGGAGTGACTTGGAACATAGTCCTACTATTCTTCTGCAGATTGTTAGGCTCGACCCTGAAGGATCCAGCTTGATCTTCTTTTCTGCTTCCTTTTTTAATAATGAAATATTAAATACATTTTAGCATGCCACCGGTTCCTTGCGTACGTGTCCTCTTTTCTGATGGGGTTCTTTTCTCCACCGGAGTGTTGTTGATGGTTCTGCTGTCTTTACCTTCATGGATGGTGATGGGACACCTATGTATGTTCCGCTGTTTGTCGATGGAACGCCTCCGTATGTTTCCAGACTTGAACTAATGTACTTTCTACTCGGCAGAGAATGGTAACAGGGGTTTTGAGTACTCTCTCTCTCTCTCTCTCTCTTGCTCGCTCTCGATCGTGTGCTGGTGCACACAGCTGCAAACGTGTGCGCACACACATACACACACGAGGAGCGTTCTGACAGTACTACGTTCTAATAGTGAAGTGTGGGCAGACTAAACTCAAACACACACATGCACGCGCACACACACACACACACACACACACACACACACACACACACACACACACACACACACACACACACACGTCCTATTCTGAGCGCTCTCTCTCAGTGAAAGATGAAATGTGGGCACTGTGAGACCTGGTTGTTGCGAATTCAGAAGGTGACATGGGTTTTCTCTTTTTCTTTTTTGTGTTGTTTTTTTCTTTTTCTTTGTGGAATTTTGTATAGCCAGCGTGACAACACAGTCCAGTACAGTCATGCCTTTTTGTGGAGTTGTGTGTAGTGAGCATGACAACGCACAATGACACACCCACGCACCCACCCACCCACCCACCCACCCACCCACACAAATGCACAGAGGCACAGGCACACAGGTAGGAACACAACTCACAAACACTACCCCTCTGGTTTAGGGGTAAGAGCCTCGTTCCACACCACTTGAAGTGCACACTAAGTGAGAAATTGTGATAAATTTACACTTACTCGATTTATGGGTCCATGTGCACTTCAGGAAACCCTTGAACAGGCTGCACTTGAAACCGAACTCCACGGCTTGACCAATCCTGGACCAGGATCGCCTGCTGGAAAAAAAGAAAAACAAGAAAAAGGCCCCACCTGGAGTGCTGGAGGTAAGGGCTGGCACTGGAACTCAAGGTACCTCTAAGGGCGATTTTGGCTGTGTCGCCCTTGAGTCCCAAGGGCGCGCCCTTGACTCCCAAGGGCGCACCCTTGGGAGACGAAAAGTGAAAACAAAGCTGGCCTCTCTAAGGGAGGGGTGGAACGGTGATTTTTGCGTCGCTCTTGAACTCAAGTGGTGTGGAACGAGGCTCTAAGACATGGTAAAGTTTATGGACAGATCTCATAAATTGAAGGGTAAGTTTCAAAAATAGCGTGTCGGGGTAGTTTCACAGAAAAAGATTGCGGGGCCCAAGTTTTGTTGCAAAAACATTTCTTTTGTTGCTGCTCTAGAGGTCCCGGTTGTTTAGCAGGAAACATATTTGCAGGTGGGGTCCCACTTTCCTTGCAAAACTAGATCTTTGACCTGTATAACATTTCTGCTGCTAGGGGTGTCCCATATGCAAAACTAGATTTTGAAAATGCGCTATTTCTTCAATAACCTCTAAATTGAAAGCACTGTGCACTAGGGGTGTCCCATATGTGAATCTATATATGGGCCCGATAAGCATCGCACTACAGCTGCAAAAAGCAAGAATGTTTTCATTAAAAGTGAAATTATTTTCATGTTCAATTTTTCTTCAAGTGTAAAATGACACACTTCAGAGCTGTGTGTCTATTCAATGTGCAATTTTGGGGGAGTGACTTCTTCCCCACCAATCAATCAATCACTCAGTCAACCAATAAAAAAAAGTAAAAAAAAAAACGAAAAAAAACGGCTTTCAAACCCTGCGCAAGTGAGTGAGTGTGTGTGTGTGTGTGTGTGTGTGTTTGATTGGGTGGGGGTGGGGGGGGCGACCCATCTCCCACCAATCAATCAATCAATCAATCAATCAATCAAAAAAATTAAAAAGTTAAAAAAAAAGATGAAAAAAACCATTTTCAAACC